GGCAGCACCAGCTGAAGGCTCCTTGCTTTTGGAAGGTGTTAAGGGCTTGTTATATTTTATAATTCAAATTTAGGTTGTTTCGTGCTGCAGTGGCTCAGCCTGTGCAGGCTGCTTGTGTGGTGCTGCAGGGTGGTCAGGTTGTCCTGGTGGACCATAACAACAGGGACGTGGGCACCGTGGGATGAAAGGTCCGTGAGGATCCTTTCCCGGAGGCCTGACGTAACGTAAATAGTGCGGGTGGCAGAGGTTGCCCTCGTGCCCTGCCCAGTGAGGAGGCTTGGTCCGGCTCGGTCTTCTGTACTGAGTATGAAGCCTTCTGAGTCCTCAACGTTAGAGGTGTTTTTAGCTGCTGTGCTCCAACAGCACATGTTTAAAGTGTGCTGTTATATGGAAATACCATCCCCTTTAAAAAACAAATTGTGAGACCTTAAGAATATGTTATCAGATTAATTATTGACCTGCAGATCCTTAAGACCTTGATCTGTCTGAAAATCGTAATGGTGTATCCGCACCCTGATAAGGACCAACATAAATCAGAGGGGTTGAAATTGCTGCCTGGTCAGGTAAGTGTATACGTGGTTCCACAATGCGTTTGTTGGCAGAAGGTGCCATTGTAGGAGAGTGCCCAAACCCCGCACTGTGCAGCCCGAAACACTGTGCCTGGCACAGGCCTGGTGCGAAGGGCTGACACGTGTCATCTGCAGCAGAGCAGCCCCCGTCACATCCCACTTGTACACCTGCGTGTGCCCGTCACCCGAACGGCTGTGCTGCTCTGGGTTTTTAAAACTGAGGTATCATAGAATCACAGAATGCTTAAGGTTGGAAGGGGCCTCTAGAGGTCATCTAGTCCAACCTGCTGCACACGCAGGGTCACCTAGAGCACGTGGCACAGGACTGCGTCCAAGCAGGTTTGGAAGATCTCCAGAGAAGGAGACTCCACAACCTCTCTGGGCAGCCTGTTCCAGTGCTCTGGCACCCTCACTCTTAAGAAATTTTGCCTTAACTTCCTGTGGAACTTTTGATGCTTCAGTTTGTGGCCGTTTCCTCTAGTTCTGTTGGTGGTCACCACTGAAAAGAGACCAGCACCATCCTCTGCACTCCCTCCCTTGAGGTACTTCTAGACACTGATCAGGTCCCCTCTCAGCCTTCTCTTCTCCAGGCTGAACAGGCCCAGCTCCCTCAGTCTCTCCTCATAGGGCAGATGTTCCAGGCCCCTGATCATCCTTGTGGCCCTGCGCTGGACTCTCTCCAGCAGCTCCACATCCCTCTTGTACTGTGGAGCCCAGAACTGGACACAATACTCCAGATGTGGCCTCACCAGGGCTGAGTAGAGGGGCAGGATCACCTCCCTTGACCTGCTGGAGATGCTCTTCTTAACGCACCCCAGGATCCCATTGGCCTTCTTGGCCACGAGGGCACACTGCTGCCTCATGGGCAACTTGTCGTCCACCATGAGGCCCAGGTCCCTCTCCGCAGAGCTGCCCTCCAGAAGGTCGGTCCCCAGCCTGTACTGGTGTCTAGGGTTATTCCTCCCCAGGTGCAGGACCTTGCACTTGGCCTTGTTGAATTGCATGAGGTTTTTCACCGCCCAGTTGTCCATGGAGATGTCCATGGAGATGGACAACTCAAGATGATGGAGAGCGGCCCTAGCTATGACATCCGCCAGCTCATGCAGCACTCTGGGGTGCATCCCATCAGGGCCCATGGATTTGTGGGTATCGAGTTTCCTTAGGTGCTCTCTGACCCGATCTTCCTCTACCCAGGGCAAGTCTTCCTCTCTCCAGGCTTCTTCTCTTGTCCCCAGGGCTTGGGACTCTAAAGGGCTGCCCTTGGTAAACACCGAAGCAAAGGCGGCATTCAGCAACTCTGCGTTTCCTGTGTTATTCGTAACCAGGATGCCCACCCCATTCACCAGCAGACCCACATTTTCCCTGATCTTCCTTTTGCTGTTAATATATTTGAAGAAGTTTTTCTTGTTATTTGCCAGATTGCGTTCCAGACGTGCCTTAGCTTTCCTTGTCGCCCCTCTGCGTTCCCTGACAACGTTCCTGTATTTCTCCCAGGGGGCCTGTCCTTTTATCCACATTCTGTATACTGCCTTCTTCTGCTCGAGCATGGCCACAAGCTCCTTGCTCATCCATGCAGGTCTCCTGCCCCCTCTGCCTGACTTCTTATACACAGGGATGCACTGTTGCTGGATAAATAAAGAGCTGGGGAAAAAAAAAAGTCCTTTCAGCTCGTTTTTTTAAAAGCATTGGAGGCACTGGTGCATGATTATTGAATCTGATTGGAATATCTGCTGTGCAATTTTGTTTTAGTACGATCAGTAGATGTTCTTAAATGAAAACTTATGGAATATAGAATGTGAGGCTGATCTTGCTCTCTGCACTGGTCGGAGGAATGATCCTTGCTATTACAACTCAACTAAAGTGAACACACTGTGGGAAGGTGTAGTGCAAGTGAGGGTAATAATCTTGCCCATAGTAACTGTACAGGAAGTCCAAGGATTTAGGAAAATACCAAGAAGTTTTTCCAGTTATTCCACCCTGTTGCCCTTCATTTTCAGTGCTTTTTTCAAGATTTCTCTTTTCTTCACAGACGCAAGATGCCCAAGTCTTTAAAACCAATAAAATAGCAGATATAGTTTTGTAGAAAATCCGGACCTGGAACCAAAATGATAGCTACCTTGGTCCTGGCTTCTTCTGGAAGCATTATTTATGCTCAGCATGAAAGACTGAAACATATAGCCTTTTGGAGGTACTCAGATGGGCTTAGTCTCAAACTTTAGATATGGAAGAATAAATGAAAATATTTTCTTAGTGACTTTAGAAATTAAAAATCTTTAAATCTCTTTCCTTTAGAAATCTTAAAAAAAGCTTCTGTGTGTCAATAGATCTGAATGTTTGCTGTTAATATAGCACATGAGAATTTAAGCTTCAGGTGTTTGGACTTGGAGCCTTGTGTTCGAACTCCTACAGTATGTGCATTTATAAATAAGACCGAGAAAATAATAATCGAAAGATGAAGAACGTTAAAGGTTATTCACACATCTTTTCTTCAGGCCGTGGCAGACAACTTCCCATGTGGAGAACTAGGAAGAGGATTTTGCTACTGAGAGTGCGAGAAGTTGAATCCTCCACTACTGGTAGAACCTGAAGACCCCGGAAGAGGTAGGGACAAGAGAGCATCGTGTTCCTTAGCCACGGCGAGTTCCTTAGGCTTGAGTTCCAGTGAAGTTCCCCCGCAGTCTGGGTCCTGCTAGCCCTTACAGAATGGTCGGAAACAACTCAGGGCAGGAGGAACGCCACTTTTTATTCCTCGCTAAAGAGTGTTGAGAGAAATTTGATAGAAGCAGCTGACCTGTAGGCTAGAGAGTGGAAGTCCATTCTTAGCCCACAGCTATTATAAATACCTAAAAAAAAACCCTATTGTGGTTATTTTCGTGTTACGTAATGTTGATATTATACTCGGAGAAAGAAACCTAAGTTGTGTTCAAAAAGCTTGAATTTCTGATACAGATGTGTGACCAAAAATGATAGCGATCAAGTTGCACTTTAACCACCAAATTGGAGCTATTTGGGCTTATTGCTTGATAACTTAGTAGGGCAATTAGATAGCAAATATTAGAAATTAATTATTTATCCACCAGTCTTTAAGGAGTCAGCTCAGAACTTTTTAGAAATATTAAAAAAAAATGGATTTTGCTACCCTGAGATGTTAGTTTTTGGTATGTTGAGCAGGCTTTGAATTTTTTAACCAGCTGAACAAAATTCACAGATAACTGGCAAAGGCGTATTTGAATTTCATGGTTTTGCAGTGGACAACTTGCAGCAGCTGAAACTCGTCAATGAAATGGTAAATTGCAAAGTGTTTGCTCAGGTGTGGATGGTTGGCTGATTGCAGTTATTATCACTGTAGGTAAAGGAGAGCTCATGCTTTGCAGCTGGGAGTATTCTGCCTTCTTTTGTGCTTTCTTGCACTTTAAAAGTCTTCTGTGTAAAACTGCAAAGAAGAGAGAAATGAGAAATTGCAATGAACTGTTCCTGTATTAGGTAATGATACCACATCCTTAAGGGATTTTATGGGCTCAGTGTGAACATAAGCATCAGTGGAAACCTAAGATAGTGTTTAAATTCATGTTAAGGCTGAAATTAGGATAGAATTAACTGATAAGTTTATGTTAATTGGGTGAGAAGGCAGAGTGCTCTGGTAAAACAGGTATGTAAGATTGTGTGAGAATTACTGGCACAAATAAGCAGGTAATGATTCACTTCTTAGAATATAAAATGAACTGTCTTTCAGGCCATGGTATTGCACTTTTGAAGTTTCATTTTGGTATAAATATCACAGAATAAAATAACTGTTTTTCACTCTGAAGTCCTAAGTGCTTCTTGCATCTTTTCTAGCATCCAGGAAACTGCTCTTGGAAACATAGTTCTCCTTTTTTCCAAGCCCCTGGGCGCCATGTGTGTGCTAGCTGTGTGCATCTGCAGTCCTCTGTTCAAACATGCCTAGCACAGCGATGCTAAATGCGAGTTGGAGGTGCTGGTGCCAGTTTTCCATTCCTCCTCAGTTTCCTCTGTGTGGTGTTGGATACTGGTTCCACAGAGCAGATGGAGTGAAATTAACCAGTTCTTAGAGATGCTCTTCTTCTGGGGCAGAATGGGAGTGGAGGAGATATAAACAGCCTTGACTTGTATGATTAGTTCTGTGCCATTGTATTTCTGGCCTTTTTGAGAATCTGACTGGATTGTCACCTGTAACAATGTTCAGAGGAGCAGTAATACTTGGCACTTATCTTGTTCAGAGATAAGAAAAGATGGTGTTTTCATGAAGTGCCAGTGAACACCGTGGTGCACCAGACAGTAATGGAAATTGATGACCTGGAAAAAGGTAAACAACTTATTAAGGGAGAGAGCATGATTGAAACTTGCTTTTGGTTTTATTAAGACATCTACTTAGGGGTGAAAACATATAAACTATGAAAGTATTTAAGCAAAACTGTTGTGTAGGCATGTATGAAACAGTTTGAAGAAGCTACTCTGTAGTTATATGCTAGAATAAAAATTAGCTAGGATGGTAACTCAGAGCATCAAAACATTTTTTCTGTACCTGTTGAGCAATTTTGCATACTTTTCTCCTGGTTGTGTGAAGGCTTTCTAGCACAAATCCTCTAGATGGTGCTACAGCTATACTGATTGAACCAAGCAGATGTTGAAGAAACTGCTTTGCTTGTTAAAATGCCAATTCGGTCATGTATTGTACAAAAAAATTAACAAATTTAGCTCTAATATTATTTACAGGTTTATGTAAGGCGGAATCAGCATATGTGGATTCAATACCCCCAGCTAGCTAAAAGGGTAGATTT